CTAGCTGTTGCCTGACCAGAGCATAATACAGCAGGACTATCACCTTTGATGTTAGATGAAAACATCATATAGTGGAAAGAATGTTGGACTTGAAGTCATGAAAGATCTGAGTTCAAATCCTTCCATTTACTAGTTGTATGACCATGGGAAAGTCACTTAACATCTCTCTAACTCAGTTTTTCCATCTTTAAAATATAGATAATAATGCTTGTAGTATTCACCTAATAAGGTTGTTTTAAGGGTGAATAATAATTATTATAATAAAGTTGAATAAAGTATTTAAAGCACTTTGCAAATCCTATAATACAATAATAATGTTAACTGTCATTACAGTAAGACACCCTGCCTCTCTTATTGCAGCCTATTATTGTGTTAGTTTGCTTTTCTTTTTACCCCCCCATGCCTTATTAGTGTTTTATATTGAGCTTGAAGACTACTAAAAACCGTAGATTTTTTTACAAGGTGGTTGTCTAGCCATATTTTCCCATTTTAGACTTGTGAAGTAAAAACTTGACATTTATCCCCCTTAAATTTCATCTCACTGTTTTGTACCTGACAGTTTCATTGGATATCAACTCTAATCCAATGTGTTAACATTTTTGCTAGCTTCATGATATCTTAAATTTAGCAAAAATACGTTTTAACCTTTCAGGGCTTCATTCAAGTCATCGCTAAAAATGTTGAATTTCATAGAGCCATGAACAGATTCCCAGGCTGCTCCATTGGAGACCTCCTTCTAAGTTGACATATGCTCATTTATGGTTAGAAATCTACTGAAATGTATCTTCCTATCTCTATCTCTTCATGGATAGAATAAAATACTTTATCAAATTCTTTGCCGAAATCTAAGTATAATACATATATGTTTATGTATATTGCACTATATGCAAATTATTTCCCTAATATACCAGCCTGGTAGCCTTATAAAAATGGAAATAAGTTTATCCTGAATGTATTATTTTCTTGAATGAACCATGATAGTCTTTGATGATGACTGGATCAGCCCTCTCTTACTTAAATCCAATTCATTTGCATGTCATGACATCACCTCCATGATATCATGATCATCTTTGAGAAGGAAGGACAAACAGCAACAACCCTGATGACTGGAGAGCAACTTTACTAAACTTTAATGCACCCATGCCAGATTCATAATCTGTTTCTCATTTAATTCTTCCTTCTGTCCTAGTGGCCTATAGTAAACTCTGACTATAGATTCATTTCGGTTTTTCTCTCCATTTATCCTCATTCATATGCTTTCCATCATGTTGTTTCCCTTGAGTTCCTGTGTTGCCTCATTTGTGAATATCCTCTTGTTATATAATGCTACCTCATCATTTCTTATCTATTTTGTTCCATTTGAATAAGATATGCCATATCAAATCAGTACTCTAGTCATGCATCACTCAGCCCTAATCCCTTAAGTCTCAATGATACCTAGGAGGTAAAATTGGCCTTCTTGCATTTTGATCTGCAGTTCAAGCTATTTACCTATACTTGGTTCATTTGTAGATAGACATCTAGGCCATTGGTTTTGGTGTTCATTCTCTTCTTAAATTATGGTCTCCCATAGATTATTGATCCTCTCTATTCATCCTAGAGGAAATCTGTTCTTCTCCACAGTACCAGGCTTGGCAGATCTATGTGAGCAGTCTCTTTTTCCCCCTTCTCTTTCTAATTTAAAACCTTCTTAAATTATCTTTTCAAGACTCTAGGCAAATATTTCTGGAGTTTCTTCCTACTTATGAGCAAGATTCCATCATTCTTATCTTTTGATATAGAATTCCTATGTTTGGAATCTATTATAGCAATTCCAATGTTCCAATCCCTTTTACAGAAATTCTTAAATTTTGATTTAGAAATCCAAATTCTGAGAATTCCATTCTCAGATATTATTTTCTCATTGACTCATCACTTCCCAAATCCAGGCTTGCACTCTGGAAGTACTAAAAGCGCTCTCTGATTTGACCTTTCCCTCTGATTGGATGCCTGCTCCCAGAATCTCCCTTTTTGGAAGGCAGTCAAACTAGGCATTTCTTCATTCTTCTGCAGGATATAACTTTATCATACCCCTATACTAAATGTCTTTCATTTCCCACCCACCTCCTTTTCTGCTCTTTTATGTGGTGTCTTCCCCCATCAAAATACAAGCTCCTTGAGATCATGACTGTTTTTCTTTCTTCTTGTGTTTGTATTCCCAACACTTAGCACAGTACCCAAATCATAATAAATGCTTCACAAATGCTTGTTAACTGACAAACTGACTTACTTTCTCATTGGAATCTTACCCCTTCACTTGACAATGACAATGAAAATATCACATGTGATCTAAAGTCTTCAGTTTGCCTGGGACTTCAGGATTCAAAAAAGTGCTTCCTAGCTTCCTCCTTGTTCTATCATTGTCTCCACATGAATCACCAGGATTAGGAAGTTGTCATCAGTCTGAACCAGTCTTGAGAGACCCTCCATAATATCCTGGCTACCTGCTCCCAGAAGACAGCCAAGTTTTCTCTTACTGATGCCAACTAGAAAAGAAGTCATATCAATATCCCACGACAGTATCCAAATACCACTACTTCCCTCCTTTCTCTGAGAATAACTAGATGCCCTTTCACCAAGTGACACTTACAAATCCTTATCTTCATTCCCTGGAGCACCAGAAAGTGCTTCTTGAAGAGATGAGACACCTTCACTTCTGCCAGAAGATTATCATACTTAATTACTTAGTTACAAATGTTACGTGGTCCAGGTTCTTCTCTTCCTTAGCTGGATCACATTCTTCTACCCTCTAACCTCCTGATACAGGTTCATATTCCTGATGTCCTGCCTTAGGCCTCCTATATCCTATCCATGAAAAATAGAGAGGGTATGTATCGTGTAGCCAGGTCCATATTCCCTGTGCAATTCCTGACCTCCCTCTAGGCTAACAGTCCAGCCAAAAGCAGATGAGCAGATCTTCAGCAAAAGAAAAAAAAACTGCACTATTTTGTTTTAAAAATCAAAAGTAATGTTGATATTCATTTTAAAAATCACATTTCATGTTCTTTAGCATATTTGATATTATTTCAATTCAACAACCTTTTATAAAGGCTCTTCTATATATAAGGTACTCTACCACAAAGACAAAAGTCTAATATTTCATGCTCTTAAAGATCTGATGTTCTGCAGGGTATTTCAAGATATTTTGATACCAAATCTCCTTTTCCCTCAATAAGCCCCTTGGTCATTTTTTTAACATCCTAAAATATATCTCAATGTGTTCTATAGCATTTCTTTTTTGTTTATTGTTTGTTTGTTTGTTTGTTTTTAGGCAATAGGGGTTAAGTGTCTTGCCCAGGGTCACACAGCTAGTAAGTGTCAAGTGTCTGATCTGAGGCCAGACTTGAACTCAGGTCCACCTGACTTCAGGGCCAGTGCTCTATCCACTGCACCACCTAGCTGCCTCTAGCATTTCTTTTTTCAAGTGAAAATGTGTATATTTTTTTCCCATTACATGTAATAATTTTTAACAATTTTTTTGAGCTCCAAATTCTCTGTCTCTGTGTCTGTCTGTCTTTCCCCCTTTCCTCTTTCCTTTCCTTCTCCTCGCCTTGAGAAGGCAAGCAATTTGATATAGATTATATATGTGCAGTCGTGCAAAACATGTTTCCATATTAGCCATGTTCTTCTACATCATTTCTGTGGTTATTTTTTATGTAACAAGAAAGTCTCTTCAGTTTGTTCTTCTCATTAACAGAAGCACTATTGAGCACTATTTTATCTGCTATCATTTGTTTCCATAGAATATATTACTGTCTGGATATTTATGGTTTCCTAGACTATTGATCTTCTTAGGGCTTAAAGTTAAATGATTTGCCTTTTTTTAAATTGTGATGTCATTAGCATCAGAAAATTCCTCTACCATCCAAAATTAATACTTGCTCACTTCCTGAACAACTTAGAATCATAGAGAGCTGTGCAGGGCATCAAAAGGTTAAGTGACTAGCAATACAACTAAAGATGATCATTTCCTATTTTTCTGGGGAAAACATACAAATCATTAGAACATGCTGGTTCTTTTCATTAAAAAAAAGTTTAATCAAGAAAATGGTCCTTTAACACAGCCATAGATGCAACAGAAGGAACGAATGTGTTGGAAATTAAACATTTATTAGCCATCATTCATTTATTTATTCAACAAACATTTGTGAAGGATTAACTTTATGCAGAACATTCATTATAGAGATAGATACAAAGTTATAAGAGACATGGTCTCTTTGCTTTCAGAAAACTTCTTTGATGTAGACTGGCAGAACTCAGGGGTTGTCTGAATGAGAGATTATTTTTAAGAAACTGCAAATTTGTGCTTTTCAAATTCATTCAAGACTTGAAGACTAGGTGGTGCAATGTATAGGATACTGGGCCTAAAGGCAGGAAGACTTGAGTTCAAATCAGACACTGTCTAGCTGTGTGGTCCTGGCAAGTCATTTAACTCCTATTTGCCTCAGTTTCTTCAACTATAAAATGGAAATAGAAAGAGCACCTTTGTCCCAAGGTTGTTGTGTGGATCAAATGAGATAATATTTGTAAAAAACACTTAGCATAGTATTTGGCACATAGCAAGTGCTATGTAAATACTTACTGTCTTATTTCCTTCCCTGGAACAAAATATTTCAAAGTAGCTTTTCTGTGTAGAAAGTGGTGAACCTCCTTTAATGAAGAGGTGAGATTCATTGTCCTTAAGAATATATATTTAGGAGTAATATAGGACCCTGTGATTTTACTGATACAGAGAACTTTCAAATGTGGAAACTATCAATGAAAATTGGCATCTTCTCTGCAATTTATAGTCTCAGACAGCTGCCTAAATCTCTAAAAGGTTAAGTGTGACACAGCCAATATGTATGAGAGAAGGTACATGAATCCAGATCTCCCTAGTTCTGAAAGCAACTCTTTATCAAAGACAAATATATATTATATACTATGTATTTATATACCATAAACTTAATATACCATGCTTATCTCATGAATACTACATAAGGAATAATAAATCATTTGAGTACAAATAATTTAAAGTGTCAAAATACTTTGAAGTGGCTGGTTTTCTCAAATAGTTCAAAGAGCTCTTAGAATCCTTCATACGTCATCCATTTTATTAGCAATCCTACTTTTCATGGATAATGAAAAAGTGAATTTTAGGCCAGCCTAATTCTAATAGAATATAAATTCTAAATGTGTAGATTTGTACATGTGAAGTTTTCCTATGTTTATAAGTTCAAAATTAGATTATTTTGGCACTTCTTTTTCTTCAGATATCTGTATCAAGAACATCTAATCCAGATGCTTCAGTGTGTATAATTTCTAGCTGTGTCTATGTGACATCTTATGGAGGTTGGAGTGGTGGTTTGGCATCTAGAGCTTATGGTTGTTGGCCAGTTTGATTCTATGTAATACAACTAAACAGTGAGTCATAGGTCACATATGATATTTACATTTTGGTACTAAGGAAATAAACTTGGGAAACAACAAAGGCCATTAAAATATAAGGGGGGAACGACACTGGCTAAAGCTGTTAAGTTAGCATACTAAAGGGAATTAAGTTTGCTGGACATGAATGGCTGAACCATGAAGAAGCACTCAAAGCTATGAATTTCTTTCTCTTTGTCTTGATTTTAAGAGCCCATCTATTAAATAAATTAAACTATGCTATATGGAAGCTGGCAATATAATTTTGAAAAAAAATCCCTCCAAGATTTACGTTAACATTTTTCCCTAAGGGAACAAAAATAGAAAACCAAGGTTTTACTGCTCCTCATCTGACCCCAGCTGAAGTTCTGAAAAGACCTTATTCTCCCACTTATATTTGAGCTCTTCCGAAAGATCACTCCTCCCAGTCTTTCGGAGATGCCGAGATAGAAGCCGTTGTTTATCAACTGATGTTGGGAGGGTTTTCTTCCAGAAGGAAAGAAATTCATAGATCTGCTCAGTTAGGTTATCAGGATTCTTCAGTTTGACAAGTTGAATGGTGCTCCGCCGCAGAGGGAGGGATGCAGCAAGGGATGCTGCATTTTCTTCGGACAGTTCCTCAGCCAACCAGTACAACAAGTTTTCCCAAAGGGCTTCTGTGAGGCCAACATTTAACACTCATTATGGTTATCAGAGATCAAACTGATACCTATTCCTAAGTGACACGTTTATCTAATTTTCCACATCTCTTTAGTGAAAACGCAGGCTCTAACTTCAGAGCCTGAGGAAGATTTAATGCAGCCCAGGAGACAGTTGTTTGTAATATTTCAGCAACTGCTCAAGGGTGTCTGATTCAGTGCAACTGCCAGATTTCATCTGTTCCTCGTAGCATATATTGAGAGAGCTTTTATGCTTAAAAAAAAATCCTCTCCCCATGATGAATTTTACTTATGCATTAGCCATACTATAACTCCTAGGTAGCAAATTTTCTCCCAACCTGATGTTAAAGGAGAGAGAGATTACAGGTTTAGCAGCAGCACTGAGGGCCCAGGACTAGAGCTGAAATGATCCAATCTGACCATTTGATGTTGATTCAGGATAAGCCTCAGAAAAATTCTGCTACCTTTTAGTACAGAACAGTCATATGTATGAGGAACAATTTATACAGTGAGAATACATTAAAATCTGAGTTTTATGTAGAAAAATTCCTATCTGTTTATGACCTGACTTGAAATCATTTATATCTAACTATATATGATATACGGAGAGGCATATTGGTGAAGTGTATGCAGTTCTAGACGTGTAGCCAAGAAGATTCATTGCTGGGCTCGGAGTCAGGAAAACTGGATTCCAATCCTCTCTTAAACTTACTCACTGTGTGACAAGACATATGATTATTATATATCTCACAATTTGCTTTAATGGGGGAGGTTCCATGCCAGGAATTTCTACATTGAGAAAGGCAACAGTATCATAGATAAGACTCATGTTCTATGTACCACTATTCCAGGTACCACCTTCTTTTACAACAGCTGTTGAGAACTTCATCTTCTAAAAAATTAGAAATATATAAATGGTAGCAAAGAGGCAACATTGCACAGTGATAGAGGGCTGGCCATAAAGTTGGGCAGATCTGGGTTCATCTTACTTCTTATGTATACTAGCTGTTTGACAATGGCCTAGTTGCTTAATCTCTCAGTTCCCCTCCTTCCCCAGTAAAGTCTCTAAGAATGAATGCATCACCATTCTGCATGAATGGCAAATTTCTATACTGGGAGTGACCCCATGTCACTAAAACCACATGTCCAAACTGACTGAATATTAGCTATTTTAAAAATCATGTTTTAGCTCTTCCAAGAATTCTTTTTGGACTTGTGTATGATTCATTTTTTTTCCTTTAAGTCTTTGCTTGTAGTTCTTTGGACATTATTGTCTTCTTCTGAGTTTGTGTCTTAATATTTACTGTTACAATAGTAGATTTTTTGGGTCAGGTTCTTTTTTTTTTGTTGTTGTTGTTGTTTACTCATTTTTCTGCCCTATTTCTTGATTTGGAACTTCATGTTAATGTTGGGCCCTTTTCCCAGTATGGAATCGGTAAGGGGGAGAACTGTCTCAAGCTTTAAGCTTTTTTGCGCTGCTGTTTTCAGAAAGAGTCCCGGGGGTTGGAACTTTTCAGTGCTTCCAAGGTGGTGTGATCTGGGGAGAGGTGCAGTCACTGTTCTCCTGGTCTGCATTCTGGTCCTTACCCAGAAAGGTGTGACCTTGGGTAAATCATTTAATTTCTCTTAGCCTCAGTTTTCTCATGTGTAAAATAGGGCGAGTAGTATTTATACCTCCTGCTTCACAGGGTCTGTTACACTATCAGAACCAGGGTGTGATATAGCACAACAATCCCATGAAAACAAAAATATCTACTTTATCTGAGGTCATTTGAGGATCAATTACTTGGTATGTGTAAATTACTAAGTAATAAGTTATTTTACTAATAAAACAGGTTTCATTCAGAGATGGAGTAGAAAAATATTCCTAATTCTACTTTTGTGTCTACAATTATTACGTGATTACTTTAAGCATAGCTATGAATGAACAGTAAATAAGTACAGAGTATTATTTCACACTGAAATATATGCATTTTAAAATTACTGACCTCATAAATGTGGGATAGTTATTATACTCTAATATTTAAAACCTACCAGTCAGCGCTCAAGTACAAACTGCAATTGTTTGGTTACTAGAATCAGCAATCATTAGTTTTATGAGTTAGCCAATGTGTGCAACCATCCACATTTCTAGTAGTTTTTAATACCACTTTAATTTCATCTGCATAGAATTATCACTAAGGGAATATTTTAAAATGTTATTCCATTTGTACATGTATTTCCTAAAGGACAATGCATTTATTATGCTGATGAATCAACATTACTCTTACAGCACCCTTGAGTGGATAGCAATTTTGATTATCAACTCCCTTACATTTTTAATTGCAAAACTATTTTTTCTCTTAATTTTTTTTCAGAAAGAGACCTACTCATATGAAAATGTTGGGATGATGAAATGCAACCTAGAAAAAATAGTTACCTACCTGAAGGATCTGTAGACATTCGTTTAGTGCTCTGCGGATGGTTGATTAATTTTTCATGCTATTGGATGAAAAGGAGGCAGAGGAACAGGAGAAGTAAGTCATTAATTTGAGGACAAAATCTGCGCAAATAACCTACACAGACACAAACCCTATTTGGAAATAGAGGAACTACAATGCATGGTGTGCAAAATTAGTTTGTGCATTGAAGTCTGGGTATGCTCAGCAATTGTTTTTTCCAAGACTTGAGGTAAGATTAATGTCACTGGATGCTGATCCAAATCTTTTAGCAAATTCAGCTCAAAGAATACACATTAATGTCATTTTTATAATCCATAAAAATCACTGTGCAGCACTCACACTAACCGAATAAATGCTATGCAAGTAAGATTGATATCTTTTTAGATGAACCTCCGAGGCCTAAAATAATAGCTTATGTAATGGTTAGTGTTTTACAATTACAAAATACTTTTCACATACATTATCTCATCCAAGCTACTTGTCAAGCCTGTAAAGTTGGCATTGTAAATGTTTATTAACCCCACTTTGCAGATAAGGAAACTGAGACTCAAAAAGATTGTGTCTAACCCAAAGTCATACAACTATTAAGTAATTGATAGAACTAGAATATAAAAACAATACTCTTGGCACTTTGGGGGTGGAGCCAAGATGGCAGAGTAGAGAAAGCACTCAGCTGAGCTCTCCCAACATTAGCCTCAAAACAACTTCAAAATAATGTCTCATGGGGCAGCTAGGTAGCTCAGTGGATAGAGCACCAGCCCTGAAGTCAGGAGGACCTGAGTTCAAATAAGGCCTCAGACCAAACACTTTACACTTGCTAGCTGTGTGACCCTGGGCAAATCACTTAACCCCAATTTGCCTTAAAAAAATGCCTCAAATCAAATTCTGAAGTGGCAGAGCCAACAAAAAGTCAGAGTAAGACATTCTTCCAGCCTGAGATAGTATAGGAGGTTGGAAAGAGAGAGAGATCTGTGACACAGAGGAGGATGGCCTGGAGCCCATGTGGATGAAACACAAGTAGTGAGACTAGGTGGTGGTGACAGAAGCGGTAGCGGCTTTGGGAGTTCTCAAGCTAGAGATGGAAAAGGGGCCTGATAACTGATCAGAAAGAGACTTCAGGGGATCCCTGTGCTAGCACTGGACATAGCATAGACACTGTTTGGCAACTTCATTGCCTATACTCACTTCCTGTGTCATAATTCAAGGGCAAGGAGGAGCACTTTAGGTCAAGAGGTAGGGAAAGTCCTGAGAAACAGATCGCTTCCAGCCCCAAGGGATCAGGGACTCTGAGGAATAATTTTGTTTCTGGTCCCAAGGGAACAGGAGCCCTAAGAAGCAATATTGATTGCAATTCCATGGGTTCAGGGGCTCTTTCTGGGTAAGGACCAGAATGCAGACTAGGAGAACGGTGACTACACCTCTCCTCAGATCACACCACTTTGGAAGGACTGAAAACTTCCAACCCCTATGACTCTCGCTGAAAACAGCAGTGCAAAAAAGCCTAAAGCTTGAGACAGTTCTCCCCCTTACCCCATTCCATACTGGGAAAAGGGCCCAACATTAACATGAAGTTCCAAATCAAGAAATGGGGGGGGGAATGAGCAAACAACAAGAACAACAAAGAACCTGGCCATAAAAATCTACTATGATAACAGGGAAGATTACGACACAAACTCAAAAGAAGGCAATAATGTCAAAACAACCACAAGCAAAACCTTGAAGAAAAACACGTGAATTATACACAAGCCCAAAAAGAATTCCTGGAAGAGCTCAAACAATGATTTTTAAAATCAAATAAGAGTGATGGGGGAAAAGTAGCTGAAGAAATTCCAGAAAAGGAAGAAAAGTATGAAAAGATAATTAAAAGCTTTGTAAAAAAAAGACATAAAAATATTGAAAAAAATAATACCTTAAAAACAGAATTGGCCAAATGGAAAAAGATGTAAAAATTCACTGATAGAAATAATTCCTTAAAAATTAGAATTGGGTAAGTGGAAGCTAATGACTCCATGGGACATCAAAGAATGATAAAACAAAGTCAACAGACAAAAAAAAATGGAAGAAAATGTGAAATATCTCCCTGGAAAAACAACTGACCTGGAAAATAGATCAAGGAGATGGATAGAGCTCTGGCCTTGGAGTCAAGAGTACCTGAGTTCAAATCCAGCCTCAGACACTCAGCACTTACTAGGTATGTGACCCTGGGCGAGTCACTTAACCCTGATCGCCTCACCAAAAAAATAAAAAAGCAAAAAAATTGATCAAGGAGAAAGAATTTTTAAATTATTGGATTATCTGAAAGCCATTGTCAAAGAAAAATCCTAGACATCATATTTCAAGAAATTGTCAAGGAAAACTGCTCACATATACTAGAATAAGAAAGTAAAATAGAAATAGAAAAAATCCACCAATCATCACCTGAAAGAAATCCCAAAATGAAAACTCCCAGGAATGCTATAGCCAAATTCCAGAACTCATTGGTCAAAGAGAAAAACACTTCAAGCAGCCAGAAAAAAATTCATATTGTGGAGCCAGAGTCAGGATCATATAATATTTAACAGCTACCATATTAAACAATTTATCATGAAGATCACACACTATGACCAAGGGAGATTTATACCAGGAATGCAGGGCTGGTTCAACATTAGGATAACTGTCAGCATAATTGACCATATCAATCACAAAAACAACAAAAGTCATACAAATATTTTAATAAATGCAGAAAAAACATTTGACAAAATGTAGCACCTATTCCTATTAAAAACATTGGAAAGTGTAGGAGTCAATAAAACTTCTCTTAAAATGATAAGTAGTATCTATCTAAAACCAAGAGCAAGAATTATCTGTAATGGAGAAAAACTTGAAGCCTTCCCAATAACATCAGGAGTGAAGTAAGGATGTCCATTAGAGGATGTCACCACTATTATTCAATATTGTACTAGAAATGCTAGCTTTAGCAATAAGCTAAAAAAAAAGAGAGCAATAAAAATAGGCAATGAACAAATGAAACTATTACTCTTTACAGATGATATGGTGATGTATCTATCTAGAGAACCTCAGAGAATCAACTGAAAAACTAATAGAAACAATCAAAGTTGCAGTGTATAAAATAAACCCATACAAAACATCAACATTTAGATATATTACCAACAAAACCCAGCAGCAAGAGATAGAGAAATTCCATTTAAAATAACTGCAGACACTATAAAGTACTTGGGAGTCTACTTACCAAGGCAAACCTAGGGATTATATGAACACAACAAAAAAAAAAAAAAAGAAAAGACTATTCATAAAAATAAAGACAGATCTAAACAACTGCCAAAACATTAATTGCTCATAGGTAGGCCAAGTCAATACAATAAAAATGACAATTCTACCTACCTTTACTTATTCAGTGCCATATCAATCAAACTACCAAAGAATTATTTTGTAGAGTGAGAAAAATTGTAACAAAATTCATCTGGAAGAACAAAAGGTCAAGAATATCAAAGGAATCAATTAAAAAATGTGAAAGAAGGTGGCCTAGCAGTCACAGATTTCAAACCATATTACAAAGTAATAATCATCAAAACAATCTAATGCTGGCTAAGAGACAGAATGGTGGATCCATGGAATCGATTAGATACAGAATACATAGTAGCAAATGACCATAATAACCCAGTGTTTGATAAACCCAAAGCTCCAAGCTTTTGGTATAACAACTCAACATTTGACAAAGATGGCTGGGAAAACTAGAAAGTAATTTGGCAGAAACTAAGCATAGATCAATATCTCACATTGTACACCAAGATAAGGTAAAAATGGATAAATAATATAGACATAAAGGGTGATGTCATACGTAAGTTATAAAAGCATGGAAAAATATACCTGTCAGATCTATGGATAAGGGAAGAGTTCATGACCAAATAAGAGATAGAGAGATGGTATTTAAAATGGATGATTTAGATTATATGAAATTAAAAAGCTTTGCACAAATGAAACTAATGCAGCCAAAATTAGAAGGAAAGCACGAAACTGAGAAAAAAATTCATCAAGTATCTTTGATAAGACCTCAATTCTTTCTTTCTTTTTTTGGCAAGGCAATAAGGGTTAAGTGACTTGCACAGAATCACACAGCTAATAAGTGTCAAATGTCTAAGGACGGATTTGAACTCAAGGCCTCCTGACTCCAGAGCCAGTGCTCTATCCACTGCACCACCTAGCTGCCCCTAAGGCCTCATTTCTTAAGGATATAAGGTATTGAGTCAAATTTACAAAAATAAGAGTCATTACTCACTTGATAAAAGGTCAAAGAATGTGAATAAGTCATTTTCAGAAGTCAAAGCTACTGATAGTCACATGAAAAAAATCCTCTCACTACTTATTAGAGAAATGTAAATTAAACTCTCAGCTATCTCCTCACACCTCTTGGATTGACTAATATAATAGAAAAGGAAAATGACAAATGCTAGAGGAAATATGGAAAAATTGGGACACTAATGTACTGCTGATGGAATTGTAAATTAATCTAACCATTCTGGGTAGGCAGCTAGGTGGCACAGTAGATAGAGTGCTGGGCCTGGAGTCAAGAAGATTCCTCTTTCTGAGTTCAAATCTGGTGTCACACTTACTAGCTATGTGACCCTAGGCAAGTCGCTTAACCTTGTTTGCTTCAGTCACTTATCTGTAAAATCAACTAAAGGAAATGGCAAACCACTCCAGTACCTTTGACAAGAAAACCCCAAATGGGGTCATGAAAAGTAAGACACGACTGAAAAATGGCTGAATAACAACCAACCGTTCTGGAGAACAATTTGGAACTGCAGTATTGGAACTATAAAACTGGCATACCCTTTGACACATCAATACCACTACTAAGTCTGTATCCCAAAAAGATCCAAGGAAAGGGAAAAGGACCTATTTGTACAAAAATAATCAGAGCTGCTTTTTTGTGGTGGCAAAGAATTGGAAATTGAGGGAATGCACATCAATTGGCTGAACAAGTCGTGGTATATGATTGTGATGGAATACTATTGTGCTATAAGAAATGATGAACAGGCT